GAGTCTTGGGAAGCAGCGAGTCCTTGCAGGTGTTTGGGTCAGGACATTTGTCTCTCCCCAGTTTTACTTCGCTGTTTCTTTTCTTTTTTTCTTTCTTTTTTTTTTTTTTTTTTTTCCTTTTACTAGGGATTGAACTCTGGACCCTGCACTTGCCAAGCAAGCACTTATTATACTGAGCTAGCTCCCCAGCCCCATCCTTTGCTGTTTCTTTCACTGAACTTTTAGATAGACTTTCTCAACTTCATTTTCCTGTTTTGATTTTTGAGTTTTTCCCATTAGTCAGCTTTTACATCATTTTTTAAATGTGTTTGGTTGTTGCAGGGTCTCACTACACAGCCTGGACGCATGGCGATTCAGTCTCCCCAGCGCTGGGATTAGACGCATGCGCCACTACTCCTGGGCTCTGTGGCTGGCTCAGCCCGCCCTGGGTGTGGGGTTGGCATTCCATGTGATGCTGGAGATTGAACCACAGTCCCTGCACTTGCCTAAGCAGGAGCTTTAGTCTGCTGAGCTATCTTGCTGGCCTCTATTTCATATTTTTGTTTTATTTCTTTTTCTTTTGGTTTTTGGTACTGGGGGTTGAGCTGTGTCCCCGACCTCTTTTTTAATTTGTGACAGGTTCCTCAGCTCAGTTCAACCACAACTCCTGCCCAGCCAGCCCTGAACTGCTTGGGGTGGTCATAGCCAAAAGTGGTCTCACCCAGTCTCACGTTGTCCTAGAGCCAGAGCCTCTCCAGGCTTGGTCTGATTTCAGCTGATCCCCACTACCTTCAAGATGTTGTTTTTATATTTTGCAGAGTTTACTGGCTGGTGGCTTAGTCCAATATAAATTAGCCTACCACTGTAGAAGCAGAATTCCTCAGTTCTCCCCCCTTTAGTTACTTCCGGTACAAAAAAATCATTAATATTTGTGTTTTGTACAGGGAATCAAACTCAGGACCTTGCGCTTGCCAGGCAGGCACTGTGCCCAAGTGATACCCCAGTCTCTAGATACTATCTCTGAGGATATGATAATTGTTTTTTTTAAATTGTCTTCCTTGCTGTGGTCCACGGGGTCTTCGCCTTGGTGGCAGCTGGGACACGAGCCATGGAGGACACACTGCCCCGACGCTGGGCTGCAACGAGTCGCACCTGGAGAAGCCGACCCTTGGCATCACCCGCATCTTAGAGTCTTCTGCAGGTGTGACAGCGGTAACCATCATAGAAAAGGCACCCGCTGAACATCATATGATTTCTTCCTGGGAACAAAAAAATAATTGTATGATGCCTGAGGATATGAGGAACATTTACTCGATGACCAATGGCTTCCACATGACCTGGAGTGTGAGGCTAGATGAACACATCATTCCACTGGGCAACAGGGCCATTAATAGCATCTCAAAATTAAATGAATTCAACCAGTCTTCTGTGTGTTCACTTCCTAATGCACCAACTCTGGCAGACCTAGAGGATGATACATATGAAGCCAGTGAGGACCAGCCAGAGAAGCCTCATTTTGACTCTCAAAGTGTGATATTTGAGTTGGATTCAGGCAGTGGAAATGGGAAAGTTTGCCTTGTCTTGGAAACAAAACTGGGAAGCCAGCATTATCACAAGACACTGAAATCTGGTTCCTGGACAGAGCATTATGTTGGCATTTTCTCACAGATACTTTTACTGCCTATTACCACCTGCTCATCACCTACCTGGGCCTGCCCCAGTGGCAGTGTGCTTTCACCAGCGATGGCATTAGCCCACAGGACAAGCAATGGTTCAGCTTGTATAAGCCCATCACCTACAGCACAGACCTGCTCGCTGGAGAGACCGACTCCTTCATGAATAAGCTAGATCCAAGCAAAGTGTTTAAGACCAAGAACAAGACCGTAATCCCAAAGATAAAGTGGCCTGTTCAGCCTGCCAGTGCCCAGAAAGGTCCTTCAGCTCCCTCAGCTTCTAAACCCTCATCTAGCTCTGCAAACCCTATCTGCAAATGAGCACCACCTACATCTCTCCACCAGCCTAGCGGTAGTGATTTCCATGCCCTGGTGGCCCTAGCAGTGGCCGCAACCTGATTCTGTGTAATTGTGAACATCTTCCTGAGTGACCAAAATCTTCCTGCTGACACTAGCTGGGAATTGGAAGGGCACATGTACTGAAAGTTACCCAAGCGTCCTTCCCTTACATTCTTTCTAGTGGGTTGTGTGAGCCTCTGCCTCAAAAAGCTGTATAGAATTTTAGATCTTAAGTGGACGGAGAAATCCATTAAGAGCTTTCTTTTCTTTGCACACCTAACCTGTAGTCCCTTAGCAATAATTGGAGAAGTCGCCTAAAAGAAACACTAGCTTTTGACTTGAGAAACATTGGAACTACACAGTTGAATAAGTAGCCCCTAGTCTCATGTGGCTACTTAAGTACATGAAAACTTCATGTCCTCAGTTGCTTTTACATTTCAAGAATTTACATGGTTAGTAGATTCCATACTGGACAGTACAGAGATAAAGAATGTTTCCTTCGCAGAAAATTTTTGGACATCACTACATTAGAATATTTTCATGCTGATCTTCCTCAAATCAGTTGATTTTGTTGTTAAGAAATGTTAATGCCTTAACTTCATGGGTTGTAATATTTCATGAAAACTTTGAGTATATAATTGTATATTCTTTACTAGGAAAATATCTCATTGTTTTTAGTTTTCTATAAACTTTCTCATCAGTTTCATGTAAAAAAAAATTTTTTTTCCCTCAAGAATAGCCCAGTTTGTGCTCTTCTATTTGCTTCTTTGATCTTGAGTATGGGGGCTGGGGAGATGGCTCAGTAGAATAAGCGCTTGCCTAGCAAGCGCAAGGGGCTGAGTTCAATCCCCGGTTCTGCCGAAAAAGAAAGAAAATTAAGCTGATCTTAAGCATTTATTCGTGTTGGGAGGTTTTTCTTGATGCACTGCAGTGGCCAGGGCCTGCTGGCCACTGGGTAGAACCAGGGACTTTCCTTGTTTTCTTAAAAGCTGCTCAGATTCCCCAGAGACTTTTCTTCCGGTCTCATCCGCAGAGGTTGAAGGTCGGACTCCCTGCTTTCTGAAGCTCATATTCAGCAGGAGGATGGTCCCTTGGTCCCTCTTGTGGGGAACTGGTGGTCCTGCCCTTCAGTGGGCTCATGCCTTGTGTCGTGGGACCTTCAGGTTCATTCCCTTTGTAGACAACATTGAGACTGGTGGGTGGCAGACAGCAGCACAGGGGTGTGGAGTCAGGAGGGCCCTGGGGCTGCTCTTGGGCCCTCAGTTCCCCTCCCCCACTTTCAGAGGCAGCCGCTGTCATCTCCGAGCCCTTGAAGATTCCTTGGACGAACTGGGCCCTTAGCTTTCCATACTGCCACTCTCAAGTCTAGTTTCCTAAGTACCTATACTTGATTATCACTTTTTATCTGCTTCCCAGCCTCTAATTCTGAAAGTATTTTTTTTCTCTGATTTTTCAGAAAGCAAAGCAGCAAACTCAGAAGCTAATAACTGGCAGCCTCAAGAAGCTGCTTTCATTGCATTAGTTGGTTAGGTTGCAGAATCTCCAAGTCCAGGGACTTTAAGTACTTTGGGGCAGTCAAACCAGTAGGGACCGTTTTTCCAGCAAACAAAAGCAAACCAAAATAAATAGTCCTTGATTTATTTATGATAGCCATTCTTTCTGGGGTGAGATGGTATCCATTTTGTATTTCTATATATGGAATAGTTGGGATAGATACACAGCTACTTTCGCTTAATTCAATGAGAAGAAAGATTTGTAGTAATAGTGTTTGGACAGGATATCTTGTCTGCTTCTTGTACTATGAATAACCACTAAGAAGATAACAATATACAATGTATTAATTATTGAAAATATCCTATTAATCAGTTTAAAAAAAAAAACAACTAAATACTCCTGCATTAGAATGTGTGTACAGGGGCTGGTGAGATGGCTCAGTGGTCTAAAGCATCTACTTAAAACAAGCTAAGCTAAGCAAAGCACAGGGACCACGGTTCAATCCCCCAGCACCACATGCCAGCCAGCCCCACCCCCTGGTGGGCTGAGCTGGCCACACACACACACACACACACACACAAAAATAAATAAACTAAATAATAAATAAAAAAATTAAAAAAAAAAAAAGAATGTGTGTACAGTAGAGACCCATGTAGGTCAGTGCATGTAAAGATAAACAAAAAGGTAAATGGTTGCAGTTACACTGTGCTGCAGAAGGAGGTGGGGAATCCACGGCAGCCTCGTCCTGGACCCTTGCTGAGGGCTTCGCATCTGGGGTGCTGTGGATGGAAATGAAGCAGGGCTGGGGAAGGCTGCAGAGCAGAGTGAAGTGATAGCTTTGTAAGCACGGGGGCAAGCACCACGCTCTTCAGCTGTGATGCAGCGAGGTGCCCTTTCACCTTAAACTGCTGCTGGCATGGAGAAGGCGGGCGTCAGATCCTGAGCTGCCTGGTGTAGAGGCGCTTTAGAAACCGGAGCCTATAAATTTAGCACGAATTTGCCATGATGGGTGGGAAACTACAACTAGTTCGCCCAGCATTTGGTTTAATTTCCTAGGGATTTGTAGAAATGTGGCAGAGAACCCCCTCTCCTCAGAGAGATGGAGAAGGTAGGGAGCTGAGTGATGCTCACACAAACACAGCCTTTAAAGTAGACAATGAAGAGGACTATGGATAGCATGTGCTTACTGGGCTGTTAGGAGAACATCGGGCTGGGTGGGACACAGGAAGCCTGGCATATAAGGTATATAACTTCACGTTGGTGCATAACTTGACCTGAGTTAAGATCTGGGTTCCAGTCCTGACTCCTCAGCTACCTCCCTGTGACTGAGCAAGTTCCTAGCATGTGTGATCCTCCCACGGTGCTATTGAAGGTGAAGGAAGGCAGCTTATGACCTACAAAAGGATCGATAAAGCAAAAGCATATTGGGTCCAAAACTGAATTTGAGTCTTTAGCACGTATTTGCTGAGCCCGCATCCAATACCAGGCTATGTACATGTGCCTTCCCTGTTCCAGCGAGGCTTATGAAGTGAAGGCACAGCTCTGCTCCGTCCTGCAGCCCTTCCTCAGGATGGGACAAGGTTGTGCAGGTGAGCGTCCCCCGGTCGTTTCCTGGCTGCAGCTGCGTGGCGGGAGAGAATGCCTGAGTGCCTTACCCGGCTTAGCAAAAATGCCCTCCCTCCCAGCTTCCTTCCAAATGACCAGAGAAAGGTCTCCTCCTGCTAGCGACCCTTGATGGTGGTGCAATGGTTTGCAGCCCATGGCTTGGGCAAGTGGAGGGACTCAGGAACAACGACTGGCTGTGCAACTCCATGGGGGTGGAACTTCACTGCTGTGCAGAGTCCAGTCTGGGCATCACTGAGCTTGGGCCTGCCTCCTCCCAGCTGGCTGTGCTCCCCACTGCTTTGCATCAGGTGGGGAAGTTCCCAGAGGTCTGCTGCTAAGCGCGAAGCTCCCTCCTGGCGTCCTGTCATGCCTGGCCTTACCCACCCCAAATCCAGCCTTTTAGGGCTCTTCAGCACCATTCTGTTATTTGTTCACCCGTGTGAGCTTCCCCTTTGGTCCAGCCTTAAACGCCATCATGAGCTTTGATTTGAATGAATGCCTGCTCTCCCCTCCCTGCAGCTTGTCTTGCCAGTGAGGGGCTCCTCCTGCCTCCTCTCCTGTCCTCTCCATCAGAACTCCTCCTCTAACCATCATCTCATGTCTTCTCTTTCCCAGAACTCACGTGCTGTGTGTCAGACTGAGCTACCCTGTTCTACCCTACTGTCGAGACTCCATGCCGTCCTGCTGATGTTCACAGCTGTGCCTGGGAAGGAGGTGGCACCGCCCGCAGAGACCTCCTGTGCCCTGATGGGCAGGGAAGGACCTGTGGGAACACACCCTGTGCGTCTGCGCTTCCCTGTGTGGACCTTGCTGTCGCTGCCCCGGAGCAGAGCTGCATGGGCACCAAGGGGAGGAGGGTGCTGCACCACCCCTCACTTCCCTGCAGGGCCCCTCCCTGGAGTGGTGGCCTGCATGTGTCGCTGCTCTGTTTCATGCTGTGTAATTATGTACAGGAGGGACACGGCATCCGTCTCCCTAGATGCTTCCTAAGAAATGTGCCAGTGTTTACGCAATTCTTGGTGTTCCCTGTCTCTCTGCTGTGATTGTCCCGGCTTTTCCCCTGCTAGGCTGCCTTGTCCCTGCGGGGAAGTTTTCCTCTGCCCCAGCTTCGTCCTGCACTCCACGCTGCCCTCCTTAGCAGGGAACCAGGCTCTGAAGGGAAGGGAACTCGGTACTTGTGGGCCACAAGGGGAGGGATTGCCTGGCAGCCTGTGGGCTCTTTTCAGCATCTCTGTCATGAGAGAGGTGGTGTCCTGCTTGGCTCTGCCTGGTCCTCCAGCAGCTCCAGGAGAGCAGCTGTCAGATGTGCCAAGCATGCGTGTCACTGTGACAAGCCATTTGCTTCCTGCCTTGCTTCTTTACAGACAGACCAGCTGATGCAGAGCCATCTCCAGGCAGGGCCTCTGGCAGGTTGCAGTCTCCCCAGTTTATTTTAAGCAGACAGACAAGACTGTTGGTGTCACTAGGGCTAGTGAGAGAACTGAGACTGCGCATACGCAGGTGATTCCCTGCTTCCCCACCCCCCCTCGGGCCCTGTACTTCTGGGAGCCCATGTGCGTAGGCCCAGGAGCCCCGTTTATTGACATGGACTCCTCCCACCTGCCCTGGTGCCAGCGCTTGGCAACATTCCAGCTGGTCATCCTATTGCCACCCCATGGGGCTGAAGGTGTCTGGTTAGCTCCCTGCACAGAGTAAGCCTGGCCACTTCCCTGCCATTGGCAGGGACAGGCTGCTGGGCACAGGATCTCAGCCCATGAGAGACCCTGAAGTCTGACCCCCACTTTAGGCAGCAGCTGAATGGCCGGTGTGAGATGCATCAGATGGGCTGCTGCAGAGCAGAGTGGCCACGCTTGCATTGCCCCTCCTTCCAGGAACAGAGGAAGCACAGAATGCTGCTGATGACCTGCAGGGCTGGCTCAGCTCAGCAGAGAGCGAGGTGTGCATCTGAGGACAGGTGTCCAGGTGCAGGCTGCCTGGTCCTTTCCCAGTTCTGCAGTCACCTTGGCACTTAGCCTTCTGTGCAGTCGATGGGGCAAGGGGTGATCTCCCCACCGCTGCCTTTTGGAGCTGTCCTAGTCTCGGCTTGGGGCCCCGCAGGTGGGACCTGTGACAGAGGTACCCCATGAGAAACAGGTGGAGGTGGCAGGTACTTCCCAGATTTCCAGAGGCCCATTCAATGAAGCCCCCAGAAGAGGAGGCATCTAGCCCTGGGGTGTTTATTCTAAAGAAAAGGAGTCGATGTCTGGTCTGGGCCCATCTGCCTTGTATTGGGCCATGGACATACAGGGGTGGTGACTGCTTGCCCGTTCGCTGTCCTGTCCTGCCTCCCACCCTGTACTGTGTCTGCTGGGCCTAGAAACAACTGCATGCTGCTGGCTTCACCCCTCCCAGTTTGGGGGAGCCTCTCACCAAGGCCCAGCAGAGCTGGGCCCTGGCCAAGCCAGAAGAGGAGCAGGACGTCACTCCTGCTTCCACTCTCAGTCAGCCTTGGGAAACGCAGCTCACTTGGTGCTCCATGCATAGCAAGGCTGCCCTCGCCTTGTCAGCAGGAGCACTTGGTTTTGCAGGTCCATCCCTGCGAAGATGATGTGGCCAGAGATCCTATGTCCTTGTTTTGTCTTGGGAAGTTCTCAGCCTTGCAGTGGAGCTCTCCAGGGAATGGCAGGCAGATGCTAAGGGGCCCCTGTTCTTTGCCTTTGCCGGTCTAAGCACTTGGTGCTGAGGACTTTCCTGGAAGTCATGCCCTTTCTGGAGCCATGACAAGCTGCCACTGTGTTGATGGAGGGACGACGAGGGAGGGAAGCAGGGGACCACAGACCATCTGTGCAGCCCACATCAGATGTGCCTTGGCTTGGGGCTTCCTGTGTAGGACACCACCCCTGCAGTCCTACACAAGACTCTGCAGTCTCCTCTGGCCTGCAGTCATGCCACCAACTCTGATGTCCTGTGTGCAAAAGAGGATGGCAGTCAGGAGATCAATGCTGGAGCCTCTCACGGTTCTGCCTTTTCCGTAGCTTGGGGCCCAGCCAGGAAGCAGGAACCCCAGTATGTATTTAGATTGAGTAGTTTTAAGCCAGAGTTTGTTTGACACAGGACAAGAGCTGAAATGGGAGCTGAAGCAATCTCAAGGTTGCCAGGAAGCTGCCATTATTCCTAGGCAACCTAGACAGAGTGAGGAGGTCATGTTACTCAAAGGGACCCAGGCCACCAGGTGGGGCCTAGGACACAGGCCCATCTGGTTGGAGCTGGAGCCATAAGGAGGACAGTCCCTGTCGGAATCACCCCCAGAGGGAAAAAGCTGACGTCTTCCTCTTGCCTTCTTAGCAGATCAGTGGCAGAGGAGACAGCCACTTTCAGGGTCACCCAGCTCACAACAGCTGGGGTGGAGGGGCCCAGAAGGCCCCTTGGTCTGCTCTGTGTCCTGTCTGAGTCTGGTGCTTTTTGCTCCTGGCCAGAGATCCTGCTGAAGGAGGCAGCATTGGCCATCTTGGGGTTTCCTAGTGAGGAAAGTGGGGAGCCAGGGAGGGGAGAGAGTTTTTCCTTCTCACACGTTCCTGTTCTCCCTCAGGAAAGCCAAGTCCCGGTTTTCTGTGTGACCCTCTGTCCCTTTCTTAGCGTCTCTGGTTTTCCTGCCAGTGGTCCCTGTCCCTGAGCGCCTCAGTGCTGAGTGCTTCCCCAGGCCAGTGTGTCTGGCGTGGTCTTGGTGTGGACCGTCTGTCTGTACAAAGAGCTGTCTACTAATCAGTTTGTATCGTGTTTCCAATAAATTTCTGGAAATTCTGCCTGGTTTTATGTGTCCTGTGCTGAAATGGTGGCTCAGCTGGGAGGCTCTGACCCCGCACACCCCAGAGGTCCTTGCTACCTCACTCTGTCCCCCTCTTTATCCCCTGGGCAGTAGGGAGGTAACAGGCCAGGCCAGTTGGTCCATGTCCCCAGCCACACAGGGATGGGGACTCTGGCAGCCTTTTCCATGGACTACTTCATCCTGTCTCCTGGGCCATGACCTGAGAATCCAGAGGGGTCAGCAGGCCAGGTCAACTAACACATGACGTTTGACGCATGCCCCCCAGGCCTGTGGTAAGAGGAACAGGCAGAGCTACCTCCGGGGAGCTTGGGGCTGACGCACCAAGGAGCTGCTGTGGCACACACAGGGCCTTTTCGTCACAGTAATTTTGTGGGCTCCACCTCAGTTGCTGTGCTAGGGCTGTTGCGGGAGAAGATACAGTGTGGCTGGCCTGAGGCCTCTCTGTCCTTTGTACGTGACAGTTTGCTGGGCTTTGAGAGGGTGAAAAACAAGACCAAAAATGGAGAAGCTTTACTAAAGAAGGCCAGTCGGGCTGCTTACCCATGCCACGTGAGGTTGCTGGAGAGGACAGTGTGGTTCACGGCTCTTCTGGGTTTTGTGGGTGTCTGGCATTTTGGAGAAGGCACATGGGCAGTGCAGTCAGGGAAGTCTGTAGAGGGGGAGCTCCCGAGGGTGGACACAGCCGTCCTGGAGGAGCCCGTTGGGGGCTGGGTGGCTACTGGTGTCCTTTGCTGAGCCCAATAGTGCTTCCTCTTTCTGGAGGCTTCTCTGCAGCTTGGTGTGGCACCCCACCCCTGAACCCCAAGTGCTATGCCAGGCCTGTATTATGGTTGGGCTTCCTGGGAGCTGCTTTTCCCCTATCTGCTGCTGGGCAGTGGGGCTCCCTGCAAGAACTCTTGTCACCAGCGGAGGTGGGGTGCTCGGCTCTCTGGGCCCCTTTGGGCTCCTTTTCCTTGGGGAGCTTGTTTCTGTACTACCAGAACCAGCTGTTCCAATCACGTGTTGCCCTCTTAGCCTTCACTCGCTGAGTCGAGCCTACTAAAAACCTGGCAGCCCTCCTGTCCACTCCAAGACCTGCTACACTGGCGCTTTCCCTCAGCTGAGGGTGTAGCCTGTTCCGATCCTCCTGCCTCCCAAGGGCTGGATCTGGTGCCCCAGCCTTGGGATGGCATGTCCTGAATCGGCTGGACTGCCATTTCCTAGCTGTGTGACCTTGGGCAAGTCCCTCAACTTCTGCCCCTCAGTGTTTTCATCTGCAAAGTGGGATAATAGTAGTCTAAGATCTGAGACAATTAGTATGGTTAAGATGCTTGGAACAGACCCTTGCTCATCTTGCTCTCACTTCCCTCCACAGTCTTCTCCTGTCCCATCTCCTGCCGCCGTATTCCAGTCTCACCCTTGAGTCCAGCAAACAACAGAACAGCTGAGCCATGAGAACCAGTGCCTGCCATGCTTGAACCTCACGCTGCCCGCCTTTGCTGCTGAGCTTATTGATGGGGAAGAGCTGTCTCCATGTCCGCAGGTCTCATGTATTCTCAACCCGCCACAGTGCTCGCTGGCTCCTGCGGTGCCCTGCCACCCCTGAAGTTGCTGTAAGTCAGGCTCTGATGACTAGCAAGGGAAGTGCGGTTCTGAGCCACCCTGTCTGAGCAGCTGGGCATGTGGAGCCGCGGTCATGTTATTTCCCTCCTTCCCTACCTCCTTGCTTTCCCTCTTCCTTCCTGCATCACGCCACCCCCTGAGCAGTCAGTGCCTCATACATGCAGGTGTTGCTTTTTCAGCTTTTTTTTTTTTTTTTTACAAAGATCACCTCAGACATGCCAGCAGTCACCTGTGCATCCCTCCCGTTGCCCCTGTCTTGGTATATCACTCCAGTGCATTATTTTTATGCTGCTAATGCACATGTGTGAACCTACAATCAGTACAGAACATTTGTACATTGAATTTTATGTATATAACCTATCACTTGAAAAGCTTTTTTTTTTTTTTTTTTTTTTTTTTAAAGTCTGTTCAGGGACCAGGGAGATAGCCTCAGTGGAATAAGTGCTTGCCTGGCAAGTGCAAGGTCCTGAGTTCAATCCCTGGAACCACCAAAATAAATAAATAAATAAGTAGCACTGTTCAGTGAATGCACTGTTGACCCAGTAGGTGTCCATCGAAGATGCTTGACCAGACAGGGTCAAAGGTATGCCCAGGTTTTCAGATTGGCTTCCTTGCTACTAGGAACCATTGGAAAATGCCCGTCCACCTACTGGCTCCAGCCTCGCCTCGCTAGTCCTGGTCTGAGGAAGTGTCCAGCTGGCTGAGGCAGCAGTCCCAGAAGTGGCCCCACTCCTCCAGGCCAGGGGCGGCCCTCCTTCCCCCTATGGCACTGCCCCCAGGCAGCCCCCAGTCCTGAGTGGTACCTCTTTGCAGCCGTAGCACATGGCCCAGGTAAAGCTCTGCCACTCACTGGGCCTTGAAGCCCCTCCAGAGGCCCATCCTGCTCAGCTCTGGAAAGGATAGGGCCAGAGGTGAGGTCGCCACAGGTGTCCAGCCAGAGGGTGGCCACTGAAGCATGCCAAGAGGGCACTGGGCAGGAAGCAGGTGGCGTCACACTGCAGTGGCCCACTTCCTCCCACCTGGCTCCACCGCCTTGTAACCTGTTGAGTTATGAAGACTTCGACAATTAATCCGCTGTGAGGTTGGTGGCCTCAGGACCCAGCCACGTCTCTTGGGGGTCTCTTAGTCAAGCTGACAAGATTAACCACCCAGCTTCCACATGACCTGAGCATACTGTGCTCAGAGGCCCAGATCCACACACCACCCTCAGGAAGCCGCTGGGCAACTGTGAACAGGCGGATGTGGTAGGCAGTGGCCCGAAGCCTCAGCCTCAGGAAGTGCTAGTTCATGCGAGGGGGCAGAGCTCAGCAGAAAATCAGCCATGACAGGCTTAGCAGTGAGAGACGTCCAGGCCGGGCTGGGAAGTGGAAGGTAAAGAGGACCACGCTGTTCCCCACCAGGCCCCAGACAGACTCAACACCCAGCACTGTGTGCAGAAGACAAATGGTGGAAGATGCTGGGGCCCTCCTGAGGACCCCAGCACAGTGGGAAGAGAGTAAAGGGAGAGGAGAGCTCAGGCTTGGGGCCGGGACCTGAGAGAAGATTCTGGAGTCAGCCCTGCGTGAGTGTGCACCATCCCTGGCCACCACAGAGACTCATACCCTGGTTATTATTGTTGAGGAAGACCTACATCAATTCTGTAGCCCTCACTCCACGCTGGAACCTGTGGCCTCCACACTGGGGCTCTGAGCCAGCTTGGCTGTCATGGCCCTGGCAGGGGGGCAGCAGGCTCAGCAGGGGTGAGAGGAGGCCCAGGGAGCTTTGGAGTGGGCAGAAAGCCACCTAGGGGTGAGTTGAGAGTACTCACAGCCCAGGGTGCTCAGATGTTAACTTGCTGAAGGCTGCAGCTGGTCCTAGCAACCTGGGCTCTCGGGGTCACACACACCTACCTTATGTGTAGGGACTGAATGGCATCTCTTGCCCCACCGGTGCTGGCTGCAGCCAGCCAGCAGTGCAGTGTCCTGGGAGGAGCAGGCGAGGAACCTGTCATGACCTCCACCATCCTGCTCATGCCTCCAGCAACCAGGGTGCTCGTGCTGTCTGTCTGCTGCACGTCCCCAACCCGCTTTGTGCCACGCCCTCTGTGCATCCCAAGCCTACTGCAGTCCAACCTTCAGTTGCCCCAGGTCCTGATAGCCCCAAGTCTGTGTGTGTAATAAAGTGTCCCCCAGGCAGGACACTCACCTTCCAGGTTTCCACTGCCATGGCATGGGCTCCTGGGGCTTCTCCCCCAAACAGACCCACCCTGCCAGCCTCCCTCTAGCACTCACTGCCAAGTGGACAGTGGGAGGTGGGCTCCGAGGAAGGCACAAGTGCTGCCCCCAGGAGCTACTCTTTAGCAGCTGGGCCAGTGGTGAAGATAAGGTCTCCGGCTTCAGATAAACTGGGCTCTGCAGGTCCAAAGGCTCCAGAGCCTGGCATCTCCTGCCCTCCAGTGCTGTGTGCCACCAGTGCAGTGCTGCCCCTCCCAGGATCCTCTGGGCTTCACCCCTACCCCAGGCGCCCATCTGACCATGGCCAAGAGCAGAGGGGCTGTGACCTCACTGGTTTGGAAGGGCCTCCTGGTAAAATCAGGGGCTTAGGGAGTTTGAGGAGAATGTGAGCTTGTTTATGTAATAGCTGCTGGGGGTCGCCTGGCACAGAGCTAAGGTGTAGAAGAAAGGGCATTCCTCTCATGCTGTTCTGTTGTGGGTCAGGCCTTCCCTCTGTGCACAGCACCCTACTTTTCTCCAGGCTGTTGGGCTGTGACCTCTCTCCCAGGACATCTGGGTTCTCCTCCTGCTCTGGCACAGAGCAGCACCTCACGTGGCCCCAGCCTAGGCGTACCAGGCCTCTGTCACAGCTGTATGGACCAAAGGCATTCAGAGGCCAGTGGTGTTCCTTCTTGGCTTGCAGGAGAGAAAAGCCTTGGGGTACAGAAATGAGGAAGGTGCCCCATGCAAGGCTAGGAATACCTGCGGCAAAGTCAGATTCCTACGCTGTCATCGAAGCTGGGAGCCACCAGGCTGCAGTCACGGAGACAAGGTTGGTTAGGTTGTTTTAGAGGAAGCTCTGGCTGCAGCCCGTTCCATGCAGATGCAGCTTCTGTGCTGCCAGGTGACCGTCCCTACCGTCTCACTGAGGTCCCAGGGTGAGCTGGGACCACCCAGTGCTGCTGCTGGGCCTGACCGCAAACCCTGTTAGTAACGCTTCACATTGGGTGGGATGTTTTGCATTGTAACATTCTCGTGTTTTCTACGGTAGCACAAATCATTTCTATTATTTGGAAGGAAACTCAACAGAAGTGTGTGTGTGTGTGTGTGTGTGTGTGTGTGTATGTGTGTGTGTGTGTTTTAAAGTTATGTTAAATGGACCAGCGAACCAATTAAATAACTACAGCTGGGTGTGGTGGCCCAAGACTGTAATCCCAGCACTCTGGAGGCTGAGGCAGGAGGATCATTGAGAGTTCAGGACCTGCCTAGGCTACAAAGTAAGCTCAAGGCTACCTGAACTGCACAGTAAAAAGAACAAACAACAGTCACTCAGTGCTTTAATGCCCTGACACAGCGCATCACAAGGAGCAGACACTGACAGCCTTTGTGTGCGCTGACCCACCAGCTCTCATTGGCCAGGAGCCGTTATGATTTTATTGTTATTTGTATGTGTGTGATACTGGAGGTTGAATCCAAGCCCTCCACACTGAGATGCACCACCCCATCCCCATCTTATTTTTTATTCTGAGACAGGATCTGACTAAATTACCAGGCTGAGATCAAACTTGTGACCCTCCTACCTCACCAGGAGCCCTTATGGAGGATTGCCCTGGAGACGGGCAAGTGGACTGTGGGGACAGAGGGATGGGTCACCATACCACCTGGCCAAGTCCCGGGGCCAATGGAGGGCGGCTAGCACCCTGGGAGCCTGGCATCTCTGGCTGAGAGTGACAGGAGGCTGAATGACATGGCGTCAGGGCGTGGGAGGGGGCACTGGGGTCCTCAGTGGAGATCAGGAGAGCTGTGTGGCAGGGAGCCTCTCATGACAGCACTGAGGCACACCCTGGCTGCTTCAGGCCCACAACAAGAGGGTCAGCCTGGTGGCTGCTTGCGGGCAGGGTCCTGAGTCACGGACAGGGCCACACAGTCTGGGGCTCGCTCCCACACGTACCTGTAGGGACACAGATGGGCAGGGCACAGGTAAGGAGAGACATTGAGGACCCCAAGGAAAAGGGGGCAGTCAGGAACATAGGGGAATGACTTTCATGCCCACTCACGAGGTCCCAGCTGGCACCAGGAAGCTGTCGTCGGGGGCTAGGCCCAGGTGCTGTCCTCCCACTGTCACCACTGAAGAACCCTCCTGTGAAAGGAAAGCAGGAGAATTCAGCAGCTGTGAGGCCTCCACACCTGCCTGGATGTCCTGGGTCTGCCCCACAGGGGAGGATATGGGTGTTGCAGGCCCAGGTGCAGAGGATCCCCACAACCAGGAGATGGTGCCACCCTGTTCTGGGCCCCACATGCCAGCTGCCACAGCCAGATGTCCACGAGCTCTCCTGGGCCTCTGCTGCTGCCTTGTCCATGTGCGATTACCTGATGGGAGGTAAAACAGACTTTTCTGGGGCTTCCTGCCCCACACAGGAGATCAGCTTTGACCCCGGAGGCTGCCAGACAGCAGGCGTGCGAGGGGCAGGAGTGAGGAGGTCAGCATCACTGGAAACAGAGCCTGGAACCTGGGAGGAGGGTGCCCTGGCAGGTGCCCACCCCGGGCACATGGGGGTGCACCCCCTCAGCTCATCTCCCGCCCTTCCTTGGGTGTTGAAGCTGGCATAGGAAGGAGAGAGGAGGAGGGCAAATCTGGGGCCTCCCGGACCAGCATGGCCCGTCTGAGCAGGACTTGGGGTACTGTGGGTGGGAGGAGGGCTCAGTGGCAGCTGCAGTGCGCAGGTGGCTGCGGTTGTTAGGAAGAGCTTGTGGTGCAAGTGTTCCTGGGACCCACAGGCCGGGTGGGCAGTGCGAGGCTGACCCAGCCCTCGCCCTCCACCCCTTCACACTTCTGGTCCACCCTTTCTGCACCTTCCTCCCGTCCTTTCGCAGACTCCTACACGAACTTCAAAACAGTCCTTGTACATCACCTTCTCCACACAACTGCCCTTGGTTTCCCTCCCAGCCAGGATTTGGAACTGGTGCTCAGTTCCTGAGGTTGCTGGGGACACCCTGAGTGGCCCAGGGCTGTATTACCTGGGTCTCATAGGTGTCCCCAAACAGGCTGAGAGATGTGCCGGCCTGCAGCTCTCTGCGGTGACCATCCAGCCAGGCCTCCAGGGACATGGGCTCCATGACCGAGCGAGTGCTCAGAGGGAAGGGCGGCTCCTTGGGCAGCTGGTCTGCACCATTCACAGCTGGGTCAGTGTCCTTAGCATGTGGCCAGTGCAGCTCGTAGGGCTCAGATTCCAGGGGCCCCACCCTCAGCAGCCAGCTCTAGGCCCCAGCAGCCATGTGCAGGTGCTGACTGGTACTGCCTTGGTACCCTGGGTACTGGGCAGCATATTCCAATAGACTCCTCCTGGGGCCCAACACAGCCCCCTCTGTGTGTGTGGGGGGGGGTACCATGGCCTCACCAGGGATGGGCTTTCCTGTCCTGTACTGCTCTGAGCGGAAGAACCTGCAAGGGCACACCTGTACGTGAGACTTAGTAGCCACCACTCTTCCCCTCCTGGCACCATGGGAACCCCTCCTCTGCCCCTTGTGCTTAGCCCTACTCCACCCCAAGTGGGGAGGCTTTCCCCCAATTTGCAGCCCCTAGAATGCTGCTGCAGATCCTCAGAGCAGTGAGGGGCTCACTCTTGGATGATGGGGGCCAACTGCGTGCCAAGGTCCTTGCAGTGGAACCACTTCTCATATAGGATGTCCACGGTGTCCTCCACGTAGTACCTGCCAAAGCAGAGTTGACTCTTTGTATCTAGATGTCGTCCCTGGGCCAGGAATGACAGTGTGTCAGTGGCACAGTGCCTGCCTGGCAAATGCAAAGTCCTGAGTTTGATTCCCAGTGCAAAAAATAAAGGTCTCCACAAAGTCTCACACAGTCATAGGTGGAGAGTTTTGGAGGAGCCTGGATTGGCCTGTGCAGTGCAGGGATTAAGGATGCATGAGTATTAGGGCAGATAGCCTGGATGGAATGTAAGGGACAGGAAGAGGGTGGCTTTGTGGCTGGCCATTTGCTGCTTTGCTGCCTTCTGCCTGGCCTGCTTTGAACTGAGCTGTGGTCTCAGCTGTCTCCCCTCTGCGATGCCTTGGAGCCAGCTGACTGTGGACTGAGCCCCTGCAAACAGCCGAATAAACCTTCCCTCCTCTAACTTTGGGTGTTGGGTATTTTGTCTCAGCAATGACATAAGTACCTAAGACAGTAGAGGACAGTAACTTGGCTCCCTATCCGGGGGCTTCAGTGCCGCCCCACTCAGGCTTGGCTCTGCCTGAGGGTGCCTGGGCCCCAGCACTGAGGAACCTGGTGCCCATTTTACCTCCGCTGGTGCAGCTGAGGGGTTGATTTTCCCATACACCTAATCTTGGCTTTTCCAAAGCCCACCTGTGCCCTTTTAAAGGTGCCAAGAGAACTCTGAGGAGAACACTGCATGACCACATCCTGGTGCTTCCCTTGCTCCAGGATGAGCAGAACCATGTACCCCTCCAGGGGGGAGGGTTACACAGCTGAGTATGGCCTTTGTGAGGTGAGCTGTGTGCATGCACAATGCCTTCAGTAGGCACCCGAGCCTCACGGGGCAGGGCCCTCGCCCCTGGCCTGAGCAGCCCCTTTGTCTGGCAGGTGCCAGGAGAGTCAGCCAGCTGAGTCCCAGGGTCCAGCTGCGCTGTCCAGTTCTGTCTGCTCTTTAGCCCTCAAGAAAGAGAAGTGGACCTGCCGAGGGACATGGTTTAGATGCATGGTGTGCACCCTCCGGGCGCCCTGAGTTCTCTCTTATGATGGAGCCAGCTACTGGCAGCTTCATAACGTGATTGCAGCACCCTCTGGGAATTGCTGTTGGAGTGGTATTTTAATGTCGAGTCCTGGCTTTTATTAAAGGTCAAAGCAGCCAGATAAATCCATTATTGAATTTGCTGTAAGATGTTATTGAGGATACTGTCCTTGTATCATTGGAAGCTACCTCGATAAAGCCCCTTGGCTTGGAGAAATTCCTCTTAAACTCTAAGGCCTGGTAGCTATCCCTATACGAGACTATAACAGAATGCTCTGTAATACATTATTATGCAGCCATTAATATTGTATGATTGTTTTATTTTTTGGTGGTAGTGGGGATTGATCCAGGGAGAGCTCAGCTACATGAGCAGCCCTTTTATGAGACAAGGTCTCAGTAAGTTGCCCACACTGCCCTTGAATTTGTAATCTTCCTGCCTCAGCCTCCCATGTACCCAGGATTATAAACATAGCAATATTTGTTGTTAAAATTTAGTAACATGAGAAATATTTGTGAATTTTTAAAAATTAAACAAATGAATTAAATTAAGAAACAAGGGCCTGGGAGATAGCTCAGAATAAGTGCTTGCCTGGCAAGCACAGGGTCCTGAGTTCAATCCCCAGTACCAAAAAAATATAAATTAATTAATTAAGAAACAGAACTCACACCTGTGTACATAACAAAGCTGCTGTGTTGTCAGGTGTAGACATGCACCGGAAGTCTAAGTGCCTCTTTAGGCTGACTTTAGGGTTTGTTGGTTTTCTCTTTTTAAGTACTTGTATTTTCTTGAGACTATAATTCACAGACCATACAATTTACTCTTTTTATAGTAGGTAATTTTAATTTTGTTCATTTTGCATTTCTGTACTTTTCCAGGTTTTGAAAGTGAATGTGTATGACTTTGATCATTTTTTTAAGAATGAGGATTTACAAATGTCCATTGAGGGCCAGCGAGTTAGCTCAGCCGATTAAAATGTCTGCCTGGGCAGGGGCCTGGGTTGATCCGCCCCCAGAGCACGTTGAGAGGCCATTGAGGCTGGGCGTGGTGCCACACGCCTCTAATCCCAACACTTGGGAGGCTGAACACAGGTGGATCACTACAAGTCCGATCTACGTAGTGAGACCCTTTCGACCCTCTACTAAATACATTTTTAAAAAATGTCCATTGTAACAGAAGATGAGAGCTAAAGAATTCTGATTCCGGTAACGTGATGAGAACCCTTTTAATAAATTTAAAACTCCTCATTTTTAGGTAGATCTTAGATCCCCTGACCTTCAGAGCCCTCCTTTGTTCAGAGGCTGATGGTTGGGGGCGTGGCTCTGGAATTGGGGTTCGCCCTGCACCCCTTCATGGTCCCAACCTCCCTGCACACAATTTCTTCTCTGGCCAAGTTAGGATGATAAGAGTACTCACCCCGGGCCACTGGAGTGTTCAGTGGATAAATATACACAAAGCCCCGGCCAGGTACCTGCCTCCCAGCAAGCATCAGCCTGATGTCTGGGGCAGAGACAAAGCCAGAGAGGCCCTGGCAGAACTGATCGCTGGGGCCGGGGAGATGGCTCAGTAGAATAAGTGCTTGCCTGGCAGGCACAAGGGCCTGAGTTCAATCCCTGGTTCCAGCAAAGAAAAAAAGAAAAAGAACTGATCGCTGGAGGCCAAGGCAGGGAGAGCAGCCGTGTTTTGGTGAGGGCCCCCGCCATAGGGAGCCTCCTGCCCCTCACATTTCCACCCTGTCCTGTCAGCCAGGAACGCCTGCGGGCTGTCCTCGGCCATCCTTGAGTCTCTCCAGGGTCCTCTCTGCTGTGGTTTGTGGCTGCACCCCTCTGTCCACCCCCAACTCCCCGGACAGGAGGCGTTACCTGAGCCCATCCAGCTCTGTCTCCAGCCGCCTCCGCTCGACCACCAGCCCCATGGTGTTGGCAAACCTCTGTGGGGAGTGCGGCACCCTGGCCGGCAGCAGGAATATCTGCAGGGGGACAGGAGGGGCCCACAGAGCTGATCCCTTAGGGGACCGCAGGACCTGCAGCACCTGGGCTTCCCAGCTGGCCCTGGGCATCCCCTCCCATCCACCTGGGCCTGCTCTCTCCAGCCTCTTCCCGGTTGTGAGGATGGAGGATGTTCCACTGTGAAGAGGAAAGGGTGGGGCAGGTGTGTGTGTGTGTGTGTGTGTGTGTGTGTGTGTGTGTGTGTGTAGGAAAGGGAAAGGGAGGCAGGGCCTTGGTAAGGGGGAGCAGCAGGGTGGGGTCCACCTCACCTCCCCCTGCCGAATGACCACGTCCCGGTGCTTCCCTTGCTCCAGGATGCGGAGAACCATGTGCCCCTCCAGCTGGTAAAACACCTGTGGAAGAGCAAGGAGCCTGGGCCCTGCTGTGCCCTCCTCCATGTCCTTGGCCCCTGCTAGGCTGGAACCTGAAGAACTTCCCAAAGGTCTACCTCTGCTTCCCTGACCCAGGCCACAGACAGGAGGGCCAGGGTCACAAAGGGGCCACTTCTCAGACAAGCAGGAAATGATGCCAATACCCAGAATACAGCAGCAGGTTCAGGGCACAGAGCAGGAGACTGAAGTTCGAGAAGTCCGGAATACACAATTCCTTATGCTGAGAGTCAAGGGCTATCCCAAGTGCTTTCCTGCATACTATCAGCAATCTTTACAGGTGAATGTGGTGGCACATGCCTGTAATCCCAGCTCCTCAGAAGGCTGAGACAGGAGGCTTCCAAATTCAAGCCCAGCCTAGGTAATTTAGTGATTTAGTGAGATCTTGTCTCAAAATTTAAAAAAGAGTTGTAGCTCAGATCAGTTACCAGCATTGAAAAATGAAAACGAACAAAACTTTACAATAGTCTCCAAGGGTAGCCAGTTATGCAGGGGGAATAAAAAAAGTTGAGGCTCGGAGAGCAAAGCAACCTGGCCAAGGTCATGGGCTGCCCCATCCTGGGGCTGCGGGTGGGACAGGAGCCTGTATGTCACCCCACGCTCCTCTGGCCTGGGCTTGGGGGGCAGTGGAGGTTGGGGCCTGGGGAAGACTGTGCTCCCTCTGGGGGGCTCCGACCACACCTGTCCTTTTCCATTGTAAGTCACCGTGACCCTCATTAGTGTATTACTGAAATCACCTGATGGAGGAGGAAGGAGAGAGAAAGGGAGGAGAGAGAACAGCTTTCCCTGCCCTGGTTACATGTTAAAAGCTGCAGTTGAATGGTTGAAGGGCTTTTAACAATAATATAATAATTATTATTACCGTGTGAGGAATGAGAAGAGGCAAAGCCTCCCATCACAACATCTAAAGCAAATGCAGGTGCACAGGGAAGGGGAGAAGCCCACCCCTCAGCTGGCCACAGGCGCAGAGTGACCCCACTGCAGTTCACACCTGCAGTGACTCTGTGCTTCCTGGCTGGCCCAGGACAGGGGGCCACCTGCCCTGGGGCCCCGCATTCCAACTTCAGAACGTGGCACGAGGCACTAAGAAGGCCGCGCCCTGGTGCTGTGTGATTGCAGCTCCTGGTGACCAGGACACATTCCAGAGAAGCTGGCCCTCGGCTTGGTCAGGCCACGTGTGCCCTGGGTCAGCTCGGTTAGCCTTTCTGTGCTTTGGTTGCCTCATCTACAGCATGAGAGAATCTACCAACAGCACTGCTGTGAAGCCTGCCCGGGAATCTGCACACATGGGTACTCAGCACATAGCATAAGCCCTCAGTAGACCTCTAGCTGTCCGTGTCAGCGACAGCAGGAATTGCAAAAACAAGGCTAAAATATTAAAACTAATAATACTAGGGGAAACGTAAGTATTTGATGGGAGATTCAAAATACGAAACTTTATGCAGCCACTAAAAACTTTGCCTCTGTCAGGCATGGTGGCACACGCTTGTAATCCCAGCACTCTGACAGGCTGAAGCAGGAGGGTCTCAAGTTCAAGCTCAGCCTGGGCAGTTTTGTGACTTAGTGAGACTCTAAAATTTTTTAAAAGGATTGGAGATGTAGTTCAGTGTTGAGTCCCCAGCTCAATGCCCAGTACTGCCCAAACAAAACAAAAACTGTACCTCTGAATAACTACCAATAAAAATGGAAAATGTTATCCATTAAAAGGTTGGTGAAGTGTAACATCTGGCATCAGCACTGTGCTCAGAGGGGACTCCACGTGAGTGGTGAGGTGATGACTGAGGTAAGCATTTTACTTCATATAGTTCTCATCTTTTCTTTTTTAATGTATTTGGTTGTTGCAGGGTCTCACCATGCAGCTCAGATTTGTGGTGATCCTCCTACTTTCAGCCTCCCCAGTGCGAGGATTATAGGTGTATGCCATCATGCCTGGACTCTGGCAGGCTTAGTGTGCCCTGGGAGAGGGGCTGACAAGGTGTGTGGTGCTAGGAATGGAACCACGGTCCCAGCGGTCGAACCGCAGTCCCTGAGCTTGCCTAAGCTTGGCTAAGCAGGCGCTTTAGTCTGCTGAGCTATCTCGCTGGCCCCAGTGTTTTTTGTTTTGGCAGAACTGGGGATTGAACTCAGGCCCTTGTGCTTGCCAGGCAAGCACTTATTCTACTGAACCATTTCCCTGCCCCCCCCCACCGCAGTGTTTTCTACAATGAAAAATATTTACTTCCATTATTACAAATATGGCAAGAAAAGAGAACCCTACTTGTTCCCTTAGAGGGAGCCATTGAACATGTCCATCCTCCTCCCCAAACTGTGAGGAAATGTTAAAACATAAGAAGGCATCGGAATCGTCCTCTCTTGTCCCTGCCAGGACCCTTCAGGGGATGAGGGGCAGGCCTGGCCTGGTGCAGAGGACAGATCTCAGAGGGCAGCAGAAGGGACTAACATGCTGGAAGTAAGCAATGCCCAGGAGCCTGCACCGCGGCAGGTTAGGGTACCGCTGCGGCTGATGGAGCTGGAGTTGGGCTTAGGGGCCTGGGAAGGCTCTACACAGTTGGGTGGGGAGAGAGGGAGGTTTAGGGGCCCAGCCCCCCTGAGCACACTGGGTCCTCTGCCCAGCACAGCCACGGTCGCATGTGTGGTTAGGAAAGGTTCAGAGAAGGCACCCAGCTCCATCTGTCTGGTATGGCCTGGTCATAAAGGTCCATCTGACCCCAAGGCTCGGAGCAGTACATGGGTGACACTGCAGATCCTCCACAGAAAGGAGCGGGGCCCTGGATGGGCTGTCGCAGAGGCCACAGCTCAGCAAGGAGGACAGTCTGGCTCAGTCAGTAAGAGGTATGATCTGAACCCAGATCGAAGCAACTTCTCAGATCCTAGCTGGGTTAGGACAGGCAGGGTTAGAGAGGATGCTATCCAGCTCCAAGGCCACGCAGGGCCTGTGGCAGGTACGGCAACCTGCCCTCCTGCTGCGTAGGACCACCCCATCTCCAAGCCTCGCCCAGGCAGGCTCCTGACCCACCAGTGTCCTTTCAGAGCGAGGACATCTGCACAGCCAGCGCTGCTCCTCCCTTAGCCACCAGCTAGGACTCCCCCACTCCATCTGCCCGCCTGCGAGGCCTCTCTAGGCCTTGGGGAAGCCCTGGCCACTGGCGACAAAGAGAGCACAGGAGATGGGTGAGGGGCAGAGGGCAAGAAGCAAGAAGGAAGGAGGTGGGAGATGTGGAAGTGACAGCTGGGCCACCAGGGTGAGGCTGCCCAACAGCTAAGCCTTGCCCACCACGCAGGGCCTGACCCTGCTCCTCTCCGTCATCTCTACAGAAGAATGTGGGCCTCAGTGAAGGCAGGGCGCCCACAGAAGGACGTGGGGCAAGGGTCTGTGGGGCCTGGAGCCTGTATGCCCGGCACTAGGTACCCAGTGTATCTGATGCCAAGCGAGTCTCCAGCGCCCACGGCCACCCCAGGAGACCGTGGGGAGACCTGAGCCGTGGGGTGGAGGTCGCTGGCTGAGCAGAACTTTGTTAACTCCAGCCTCACAAGTGGGCTGCCCTCAAGAGTCGGGGGCTTCTGTCCTGATCTTTTTCCACTGAATGCTGGGAACCTGTCTGTCTGCCCAGTAAGGGCCATTCCTCACTTTCTATTTTATTTTTGTCTACATAATTTTGGATAGGTAGTAGAAGAATAGAGTTCAAAATTCAAGGTGCAAATTGGGGTGGTCCCTACCTCAGCCCAGTCATCTGAGCCCTAGCAGCCTCTAGGGAAGAAGGGGCTCTTGCCATGTCCAGTCCTTAGCCCCCGAGCCTCCTCCCTCATTCCCCACTTGGTCCCTGAGTCGCCTCACCCCAGCCCAGCCTACGTCACTTTGTGTTCCTGGACTCTGACCCTGTCTGCAGGAGTGAGAACCTGGCTCCTGGCTGTGGAAAGGGAGATCCAGGTCCCTGAGTGCTGGCAGCTCACTTGAGGCCCCCTGTGTAACACAGAGATTGGGGTGAGGAGCCCTGGGGTAGGGGCAGCCTGTGTGTCCTGGGGTGTGTGCCCCATAGCCACAGCCATCACCCCCCGGAGCAGGGCTGTCGCCTGGGGCACCTCCTGCCTAGGACCGGCAGGCCTCGAAGGTGTCGCTATATACACTCAGCAGTCTCCCTGTGACTCCAGCTGTCCTCCTCTGGTGGCAGCCACCTGTCCTCATCTCCAGTCCACAAGCTCTAGCTCCTCCCCAGGGTCCCAGAGCTGAGTTGGAACCGGGCACCACAGCCTACCTCCTCGCCTTCCTCGATGTGGTAGTCCTTCCTGGTGTTGGGGCCACCAACGAACATGATTTTGAGCTGCTCCTGGTGCCTGCAGTGGAGGGGAAGGTGAGGGCCTGGAGTGAGGACCAAGGGGGTATAAGGCCCGTGGGGGTCACAAGGGGCCCACATCTTGGGGAAAGGAGCAGGTTTCTGGGCCCCACTCTTGTCCCCAGCTGTCCATTACCTCATGTCCCCATATCCTCTGACCCAGCGGGGAGCAGCATGGTGGTGGGGCTATGGCTTCTTCGCCTGGGTCCCTGGGCTGTGCACACAGTGGAGCCCCATGCCCTCTGCTTATGAGACCCTCTGTTCCCCAAGGGCTGGGGAGACCTGACTCAAGAGACTCAGGCGGTGTGGCCAGTGTCTGAAAGTACAGGTGCTTGTATCTGGAAGTCTGAACAACTACTTTGAAGATAACAATATGCAATATACAACCGTTGTTGAATTCATCTTGTTTTTTTTTTTTTTTTTTTTTTTTTTTTTTTTTTTTGTTTGTGGAACCAGGGATTGAACTCAGGCCCCTGCGCTTGCCAGGGAAGCACTTATTCCACTGAGCCATCTTCCTGGCCTGAATTCATCTTATTTTTTTTAATTTTTTATAGTTTTAATTTTTTACTCTTTTTAAAATAAATAAGTAAATAAATAAAAGTCCAGGAGCTGCAAGCAGCCTCCTGGGGTTATCTGGCTTACTGCCCCCCTCGGGGTGTTAGGTGGCCTTGCCAGCCTCGGCTTCTTCCTCTGTAAAATGGAGTGACAGCTCCTATTTCATAGAATTTCCATGGATTATATAAATTCAAATCCAGAGCTCTCAGCACCATGCCGTGGGTTTTTTTATTTGTTTTTTATTTTTGGTGTTTTTTTGCAGTACCGGGGATTGAACTCAGGACTCTGCACTTGCCAGGCAAGTATTTATTCTGAGCTATCTCCCCAGGCTAAAATAAAGACCTGACAAGCTCACAGAGGGTCATGTAGCTAGGTGACAGAATCAGCCAGCCGCAGGCCGGGGCCTCACAGGCTGCTACACAGCTGTTTGGAACTTGACAGGGAGCCCAAACTCCTCAGCCTGTCCACTGTTGGGGTGGTGTCACCCGTTATAGGACAAACATCTCTGCACCTCTGGCAGGAACACAGCCAGACCATGGCAAGGCTGGGTGGGGGAAAGGGTAGATGCTGACATTGCTAAGTGTGGGCTTTGGCCATGGGGCCCAAGTGACAGCAGGTGGCAGCCAGGCCTTTCCTAGGGCATGGGGCTTCCCAAGGACAGGCAGAGACCCTCTGCATACCCAGACATCTGCAGCAGAGAGGCTGCCTGTATGCATAATGAGGCATGCCTCTTGGTGAGGGGCTGGGGGCCTGAACTCCCCCATAGATCAGAGGTCCTGGCCAAGTGCCCTATTTTCCAAGCCCAGGGACAGGGACATAGTGACTTCCTTTTGGGGAGGCAGGAGCCAATAATCAAGAGACACATTCCCCGTGCTCTGGAGTTTGCACAGATGGCTGAGGTTAGCTGGCAGGAGGCAGCTGGCACTGGACAGTTCTGAGAGCAAGAACCTTAAGGCTGTGCGCAAGGCACAGGTGTTCTGAGGTGCTGGGAGAAAGCTGGCTCGGTACCGAGGACCTGAGCCTGGAAGTGCATGGTCCTAGGGCTGGATGGGTCTTGGGAAGGATCTGAGAAGGCCAGATTGGGAAGTGGGGGTCAGCCAAAGAGTGCGGTCTGGGCCTAAGGGTACCGGGAAGAATCAGAAAGTTGTTTTGTTTTTTTTTTTTCTTCTTACATCAACTTTGCTGAGCTATAATTTAGCCACATTAATGGTAAGCCCTTACAAGCCCCTTCCAGAAGTATTTCAACCCACCAGGAAGAACACACTGCCAGATCATGTCCCTCCTCTGCTGGGAACACTCCCACAGCTGCTCATCTTTCTGGGGCTGTAACAGGCCAACCCCTTCCCCCATCCTGGGGCTGAAGTCCTCAGACCATGACCTCAAGTAAAAGCGGGGCCCTTGCAGCTGTTACGCTAGCACGTGGTTACACTGGGGGTGGGGGCCCTGCATCCAACAGCACTGATCACAGACAGGACAGGGCGGAGATGGTGCAATTCCTAGAAGCCCAGGAGTGCCCGCAGTGCCAGCAGGCTGAGGGAAGTGGGGAGGCAGCTGGTGAACATGGAGACTCAGGCCTCACCCTGCCCCTTGGCCCCAGCCTCCATCCCCCCGAGTGTGAGCTCCCGAGGAGGGCCACTCTGTGTCTTCCCAGCTGCACTGCCTATGACCACCGGTCTGGCCCTGGTGCACATCTGCTAACCCTGACACTACCTATGGGGTAGGGAGGCTGGAGGCTGGGCAGTCAGTGTCACCAGGGGCCAGAGGTGACCAGGCTAGGCCTGGGGCAGTGGCCACCAACTGGGGAGGAGCAGCTGGAGCAAGATGGTCCTTGGGGGAGAAACTGGAGGACTCAGGATGAGAAATGGTGGGCAGGGACAGTGCCAAGGAAGGAGGTAAAGGTGGAGCTGAAGCTTCAGGCTGGGGGACCATCTGGAGTAGACGAGGCCCAATTTTGGGAAGGTGCTGCCTGTTAGCCACTGTGGCATCAGACAGGTGGCCAAGCGGCCCTTGGACTTCGGAGTCTAACTGTGGCATAAGCTTGACCTGGGACCCTGTCTGCACCGCTCTGAAAGTTACTTATTAAATCCTCCCAGGCTCCTGTGAGAATAGGCTGTGGCCTGTGGGGGTGGGCGGTGGAGGACGCCCAGAGGGCAAAGAGGACTGGGAGACAGCAAATTAGGGGGTGTAGCCCAGACGTGGGCACTGAGGGGTGGTGAGGGTCCCAGAGACCTCTAGGAGAAAGACGACTGGGCCAGGGCAGCAGAGGTGACAGGTGGGGGTCTGTTGTACATGTGTGAGTGTGTGTGTTCTTTGCACCTGCAAAGAGGCCCTGGAAAAAACAATAAATCAAGGTCCCCCAAAGGCTCGACCTGGGAACCGAAGGGGACTTCACCCTTTGCTTGTGGCTTCTTGGTCAGGGTGTGGGTGAATGATTCCGCTGTTCCCAGGCCCGGCTTCTGCTCCTCCACTTTTGGGTTCCCACAGGGCATGGGAGCTGCTTAGAACTGGGGAGACATGGCCTGAGAGGGGGACCCCCGTGCCACTTCTTCCCTCTTAGCTGCAGTCTCCAGAAAGAGGAACAAACCTAGGCGGAACCCGGAACAGCGGTCCTCAGCGTCCCTGAATCTTGTCGCCGCCAGAACAGCAGCCCCCAGAGAGGGGAGCCAAGGGATGGATTTGGGGTCCTGGGGACTCACATGAGCTTGTTGCACACCGGAGGCTGGAAGGAGGCCCGGTTCTCCTTCACCCAGGTTTTCACTCGCACGCGGCGCTCCATGCTGTCCGCGGCCCCCCGCCTCGGGGTGCGAATTCCGCGGTCAAGGTGGCGTGCGTTCTCCGAGCAGCAGGAGCGACGCGGCTCTGCCCAGGCCCGCGGGCTCTCATCTGTCAACCCCGAGGTCGAAGGGCGGAGCAACGCCCACCACCCGGCGGAGAGCTTGGGTCGGAGCCCGAGCTCTGCACCCTCGGCGCCCTGGGGAGAGCTTGGCCGGCTGGTCCGCGGGGCGGGGACAGCGACCCAGGCGCCCTGCGACCCAGGTGGAGGTGGGAGTCGGTCCCTGCTGGGGTCCACACCCGTACTGATCGTTTGTCCCCAGACTTTCTGCTGCAGGGGACCCCAGCGAGGTCCGGAAGAAATACTGTGGCAGGCGGCGGGAGGCGGGAGGCGGGGCTAGGGCCGCGCGCGCCCGCAATCTCTGCACTCCGGGAGGCTGAGACAGGAGGGTGAAAAGTTCGGGCTGGGTCTGGGCAGTGTAGCCAAACCCTATCTCAAAATTTTAACAAAGGAGGGGCTGGGGATGTAGGTGAGCGCTAAGGCCTTGAGTTTACTCCGCAGTCCCGCAAGCAAACAAACCGACCAACCCAGAAGTGTAACGGGGAGAGCGCGGACCTGAAATCCGAGGGCTGCGCAGCGGTGTTCATGCTGGATCCACGTCTCAGTTTTCTCTTCCGGACAACGCGAGGGGTGCGGCTGCGGCCAGGCGCCAGGCAGTGCAGGCGGGGAAGCGGCGGCAGCGGAGGGTTGCGGGAGCCGGGACAGGGACCCCGCGTGGGGTGGAGTCGGGGTGGAGGTGTGGGGGGCGCTGCCCCTGTGGGCGCTGTTCTGCGTGCCTTACTGCGCCGGAGTGAAGCCTTGAACGGACGAAATGGCCCTAGGGGTGGGATCTCGGGATGCCGTGGGCAGAGGAAACTGCTAGGTTATAGCCCCGGGAGGGGCCTTGACTAGGTGGGCCTGTGGCGGGAGGTGGAGGTGTGGGGGGCAGTTGCCACCTACCTTTCCTCTCTTCCCCAAGCCGAATTTTTAGAGAAATTGGAGGAAGGGGAAATGGGCAACTGATAGGTGGGGGAGAAAGAAAAGAGCCGAGGCCTGGCACCAGAAGGGGGCCCACAGAGCTGCAGAAATGCCAGCCCCCTTGCGCCCTGCTGAGGTGGGCTGCTTCGCTCCACCCTGGGGACATAGGGCTCGCAGGTGCAAGTCAAGCCGCAAACAGACAGACAGACATGAGGAGGGCTTCCGAGCCACCTGGCAAGGACTCCCCTGTGTGCTCTCCACCACTTCACAACCCTCTTCCTCTTCAGTTACTTATTTAGCACATTTTACCTGACCATTTCTTTCTCCAGGGTGCTTTGATGCCCAAATAATTCAAACCATATCTAGCAGGACTCAGAGGAGATGTAAACCATGACATGATGAACACCATGGATCTATGATGTGTTAGGTTTGTTCCGGTGGTTCGTTAAATTGGAGGGGTGGGGGGCTGGGTATCTGGGTGAAGGCCTGAGTGAATGCAGACTCAAAGAGGGGAAAAACCTGCTTTCAGCCCAGCGGATGTTCTGTTACACAATACAAAGGAAAGAACTGTGGTCACTATCTTTTAATTGATACAGTAATGTGAATAACAGAGGCCATAAGGGGATGTCAGTTATCCAGATTGATCTACACGCAGTCTAATCTATCACTGTCAAATTGCTGTCAGCTCTGCCCTCTGGTTTGTGCCAAACGTAAACTACCAGGTCCCGTCTACCCAACTGGCAAACCTTCTAGTTCCAGTGTTGAACACCATATGATTTCTCTATCAGAAAATGGAGTTTCCCTGGTATACAGATGTTCCGGTATCATTCAGCCACAGCATTCCAGAGTCCTCCTGGGAATAACAATTGGGAAGTCCATATAGCAGAAGTGCGGCATTTTTGCCCTTTTGAGAATGCTCCCATTTCCAGGCCAATAGAGAATGGGTAGCTTATTCCAATAGGGTTCCTGTTTGTTTGCAAGGTCCCTGGTTTCTGTATGGCGCTAGGCCCTTTGGGGCCTTCGTTCACTGCCAAGCTCAAGTTCTCTAGTCTGCTGGGCTCTGCAGACTCCACCCCTGCTTCCGCAGCTGGTTCTGTTCTGCCCAGAGGAGGTAAGGCGACGAATGCAAAGAGGAGGAGGTGGGGCTCGGTTCTTCTCCGCTGCTTCCTGCCCACCCCTCTGCCTGTGGGTCCTGGCTTGCACTCCGGCTCTCTCTTACCAGTTTCTAAATCTAGTGGTGTTTCCCAGCACAAGGCAGAACTGGCTTTTCAGTGACCACACTAGAGACACCAGTTGTGATACTGGCACTTTCCAAAGAGGTTGGAACCTCTTCAAGCTCACATTCTGGAGAGATCTTTCTCCAAATTCTTCTAGCTTATAGAGAGCGCACTGTTGAAACTTTTCTTACTACAGGAAGCTGCTTCTTGCAGTTACTACACTTTTGTTTTAAAGAGAGAGAGAAAAGACAATAAAAAAGATACAGAATTTCAAAGCAAGATGATAGGAAATTAGCAACGGTTTTTGTGTTGCCTATTGTCATCTTCAAAGTAGTTGCTGAGATTATCAGATATAGGCATGCAACATTGACAAACTGTTAAACACTAGCTATTTCTTTAACACGGTTACAATGGTGTGATACCTCAGATTTCCTTTGTTGATCTGCCAGTTACCTAGCTAACACTTTTAAACCCAGACACCTATTTTCTGTGTTATAATCTCTCTGTTTAATAGAAGCTGGTGTGCTTTCTGTCTCCTGACTGTTACATCTTTCTAAACTTCATTGTCTATATCCACAGATGTGTTTATGGCTAGGATTTGTATTGCAGGACGGGACAGGATCTAAGATCAGAAACATCAGCTAAGAAAGCTGCTTTGTCCTTTAATACACTCCCTTGTTAGCGTGGAATCCTTTGCTCAGCCAAGACCCTGCTGTACAGGGCAGCTGCAGAGAAGGCCCACAGACAGGGTCAGCAACAGCCCTCTGGGCTCTCTGCAAACAGACCAGCAAGTTCATGCTGTTCTCGTACCTCACAAGTGGAAGTTCCTCCAGAGACCTTCATAGGGCTCTTTCGGGCACAGCTTCCAGCTTAGCTGCTTGGCTGCTACCTTTCCATTTTCATCTGCTGCAGGGCCAGAGAGCTCTCCCACCCTTTTCTCCTCCTTCTCCCAATGGAGACATTCTACTCCTGCTGCCCCTCATCCCCTTCTCTCCCAGGGGCCACTGCTGCTGCCTCATCAACTCTCTGGCTTTGCCACCTCTCCCCGATCTCCTAGGGGCAATGTCCACATCCTTCCAGGTGGGAATGACTATACAGCACGATACGTATATCTAATGCCACTAAAGTGTGCAGTTAAAAATGGTAGGTTATATGTTGTGTATATTTTAACACAATAAAACTAGTGGGATGGCTATATAACACGAAGGATATTTTTTTTGGGGGGGGGCTGGCTCAGGATGGCCTCAGGGCAGGTCTAGTAAGGTTTGAAGATCTGGGGCCCCAACCACAGCAACATGAGCCTGACTGCTCTGTTTAAGCAGTCACTAAACAACTAAGCATATGGGCAGGCCCTCTATAACATTATGAATGTACAAAATGTCACTGAATTGTATACTTCATTTTATTTTATTTTTTGTGTAAATGAAGATTGAACTCAGACCCTTGTGCTTGCCAGGCAAGTGCTTATTCTACTGAGCTATCTCCCCAGCCCCAACTTGTACAGTTTAAAAATTGTTAATTTGGTAAATTTTGTTCTGTGTAAATTAACACAATAAAAAGATGTTAAATAGGGCTGGGGAGATAGCTCAGTGGCACAAGCACCTACCTGGCAAGTGCAAGGTCGTGAATTCGATCACCAGTACACACACACACACACACACACACACACACGATGCTAAATAAAAAGAAACTCTACATAAATCTACCTTATGACCCAACAAATCTATTCCTGAATTTGCCCATGAAATAAAAACAAAAGACTTCAAGAATGGTCCTAGTAGCTTTATTCATAATAGCCCCAAACAGGAAGAAGTAGCATAAGACATCCATCCACACTGGAAAGGCCAAACCAAGTGTGGAAAACTTTGGCCTCATTCGCTGGTTGGCTGGATGCAGACGTGAATGCAGATTGCGTTACTCCAGTCGCTTGTCTCTTTTTGGCCCCACACACTGGGCTTTCCTATTCACTCTCAGATATTGGCCTAGGGACCATCTGAGGCTATTGAACCTTTAGAGAGCCCCATGACTGCCTTGATTAAGACTCTCTCTCCTTCCAAAGGGAGTTCTCTGTTGTTATGTGTATGTAACCCCTAAGACCTGCCTTCCTGTACCCGGTCCACTAGGTTGTGGTCCGGCTGTTGCCAGGGCTGACAGGTGGACTATCCCTGCCCTCCCCAGGAGGGGATCTAGGCACTGGGGTGCTCCGGTACATCTAGGTCCTGACTGCATCTCTCTAGTGCTCATTGCTCTCTGTATTGCGAGTGAGGACCCTTCAGCAAGCATCACATGGGGTTTTCTGTGAGCCCTACTCAGCGCCCCTCTTGCAGGTCAGCACTGAGGAACAGTTCTCAGGGGCAGGGACTCTACAGTGAGGCCAAGTGAGCAGCGTGCTCTGTGTAGTGGGAAGGCACAGACTTCTCAGCCACCGACTGGCCTGGTTTTGAATCTGAGCTTTATGACATACTTGTGACGCATACACTTCTTTGTGTGAAAATTTCATCGTCTATAAAGGGAGCAGGCGTGTTGCTGCCCTCATATCTGTGGTGAGTGTGAAGATGGGGTTGATAAAATGTAAAGTTCTTGGAGCAGTGTCTGGCTCTGCCAGCACCATGAAAGTGGGATGCTTGTACCCGCCTAGTACCACGCTGTCTATATTCTTTGAAGGATTTTGTTCTCAAAGGAAAAGTGAAAAGAACAAACGCATGTGTATCAGCCAGGATCTAATCAGAACACACGACACCAGGCCAGCTATTTGAACAGGGAAAAATCTAGTCTAAAGAACTGTTAACTAGCAAATGGCAATGAAAAATACAGGACTAAGAGTTAAAGGGAGCAGCCGCTACAGTACCTCCAGGGCCCACAGAGAGAAAGGAGGAAATGCCCCTTCCCTCCTATTAGGGTTTGTGTCTAGTTGTCCTTCCAAAGCCTCATGCAGCCATTGGGGTGGCTTCTAGACTTTGTGATCAATTCATGATCCAATGTGGGGATTATGGGTGTGAGTGCTACACCCGCCCTGGGGCGGATGGTCTTAATACAATTTTTTTTTTTTAATGAAATCTTTTTTTTTTTATTTTTTTTAT